GGGCAGCGTGGCCGCGGGTGCAGCGGGAGGAGGGTTTGCACCAGCAGCAGGAGGAGACCCGCGAGGCGACGGCTGCTGCAAGCACGAAGAATAATCCAAACAAGCAAACACACCAGAAATCCTTGACCAGCGTGCTCTGGAGAGAAGCTGCAGAAATCGTTTAACGCTCCTGTCACTGAGGTGGGTGCGTGTTAAAAGACTAAGGAGCACTTTTCGCATTTACATTCCCACGCCTATTAGCGAGCGCGCATTAAGGCCCACTCGGAGATGCTGCTCTGCCGCAGAGGTGGCTCCAAGTGAGCAGCCAGCCCCTGCGCTCCGCTGCTCCCTCCCGCCGGGCTGCCAGCGCCTGCCGCGTTGCTAAGCTCATAAAAATGGAAATTCTTCCTTTTTAATGTTCAGGAGCTCTTGTGCTTAAGACTGTTCAGAATTTTTTTTTTTCCCCCCACTTATTTTAATAACGGGAGATTCTGTGGCAAGGAGGCAGCAGTTAAGTGCAGGCCTCTGGCGCGCAGGGATGGAGCCCTCCCTGCGTTTCTCCGGAGCCGAAGGATTTTGTCACTGATGGAGCTCCTGGGTTGAAACGCAGAGCTGCTGGATTGTAATCAGGAGTTTTTGCGTGGGGCAGAGCCAGTCCCCAGCCGCAGGGCAGAGGGGTGCAGCTTTAAGCATCTCCTTTCCATTGCTGGCCGGTTTTGGGGAATTTTTGTGCCATCGCTTGCCCCTTCACTGTGACCCCCAGCTGTGGGGTGGCCAGCCCGCGGCTCTGCCATCCCCGGCGGGAGGGTGAGGAGCGGCGCTGCCGGGTCTCTGCCCTCAGCCCCCTCAGTGGGTGCGTGCCCCCCCGTGGGAAGGCTGGCGGGTGGATGAAGAGCTCAGCCCTCCCTGGCCACGCGTACAGGACAGGCTCGGTGGCTCCAAGTCCTGCATGGAGCAGGGGGTCCCTGCGAGGGCAGGGCTGTCCTCTTGCAACGGGCTTCTGCGCTTAGGAAATTCCCCGGTATCTGTTCTCCAGAGACACGGAGATCTGCTTGTTCTTAAAAAGGGACTTAAAAAGGGGCTTCAATCTGGGGAGCAGGGGGGGTCGGAAAAGCGGTCCCAAACCTCGGGCCAAGCCAAGGAGCCAGCAGAGCAGCGCTCTGCCCTGCCCCGGGCCCCTGACAGTCATTTGCAGCCCGGCGAAGCGGTCGTTGCCCCAGGCTGGAGCACTGTGCTTGCAATGATCCCTCGCAGCAGATGCAATAAACGTGTTGGACCCTAAATCAGCGCCGAGCCCGCTCAGCCTCACCTGAGGCCTCGTCCTGAGCTTGCAGAAGGACAGCTCGCTTTTGAGGAGGATGCTGCCTCCAGCCGCGCACCGCGACCTCGCGCTGTGGCAGTCCCTGCGCGTTCTCTTCCCCAGGGCACCGCGGGAGCAGGCGGCGAGCAGGGGGGCAAGGGAGGAGAAGACCCAGCTCGGGGCGGGGGGGGGGGGGGGCACCGCACAC